TTTCAGAAGAAGTAAACTGTATTTAAACAACATGAAAAATAACTTACAAAACGTATTGTATAAGTTAGCGATTTTCTCTTGCACGACCATAAAACTAAGAAATACGAGTTTCATAAAGGCAAAGAAGAGGACAACATTTTATTCTTTAAAAAATAAGATTGGATATTATAAAGAGGATTGAGTACGTTATATCAAAGCTATTTTGAATATGCAAATCAGCAAGTCACGTGACAACCCCATTAAATTCACGATGGAGCGGAATGTACCAGAACAACATTTCGACATTGTTTTGCGTTCGTAAATACTGTAATGCCACCTACAATTTACCGCTCTGAGGAATGGTATGTAGCAGCATTTCTGGTGTAAAATATCCATACACTCACATCTTTAAAATGTGTTCATATCGGGATTTAGAATTTCCAAGATGGGAATATCTCTTGTATTAAAGGCATTGAAAACAACGGAATATTGGTCAACTTGAGGCACCAAGACCATCCAGAACGAGACCTGCAACAGGTCATATTCCAACTGTAAGCAAAATGAGGCGTCTTGTAACAGATGAGAATCCAGGAACACAAAGGTAAGTGGAAAAAGCCGTTCACGTGCCCTAGGCAACAGTACAAAACATAACCAAGAAGGATTTTCCTCTGTAAAAGTGATACAAGTGAGGTGTACAAAAGTTGCTTTTATGGCATACCTTCAACTGTCGCATACCTCAAGTAGTTAGAGAATGAAACTGATATTCATGCTATTCATTACGAAAACATACTAGTCAAGGCGTCAGACGCAGTGCCTATGAATTGCTAGACGATTTTACTGTTCAAATGGATTATGGAAACATTCAGAGAAGAGAGATGTGCTCTGGACATGACAACCTTTTGGAACTGAAACGTTGCTTTAAATTTTATGTCAAGATGAACAGTGGTCAGATAAATCATGACCGGATATGTCGACACAGACTGTTACAATGTGGCGAAGATCTAAAATTGGTTTAATACAACGAATGTAACTTCTATATTTGGTTTATTATTTGTCATCAGATATTTTTACAGGCCCCTCACGAGCCAGTGGGGAACATCTTTGTTGAACACAAAACTACCCAAATGAACTGAGTTTTTGGACGCGTTTATTGTCTAAAAAGAATTCATTTCCCACACTCTTTTAGCGTTGTGGCTATGAAAAGTGATTTGAAGTGGTAAGGTGACAAAAATCTGTCAGCGCATCACAAGCTTAACGGCCAAGCACAAGAAGCATAGAAGTATCCAATTGACATGCAGAGGTATTCAGGAACCGTTTAGAACCACTTTGGTATATATTGTGCAGCAAGCCGAGTACAATATTATGCTTGTAGGTACTTTCAAAGTGTTCCTGTATGCTCATCCTACTGCTGACTATCGTGATGCTTTGACCTTCCCTATCTTCATTGAAAGCTAAACATAAAAAGGTGATAACAGAAGCATAAAAGGTTGGCAATTGCTGAAAATTTGGCTTTATTGATATATACTGAATTTAATCCCAGCGGATGCAGCATTTCACTTAAAAAAATATCAATTAACAAAAACTTATGTTGGAGTTGTCTAGAAAAGATAAGTCCAAAACCACCCTCTTTGGGAGTTTTTGAATTGAACTTACTTTTAATATTCAACAAATTGTAGTGTTAAGACACCCCTTGGCTCCCGAGGGGCGTGTTAAATGTTCTTTTATGCGTGTTTCTAACCACATGGGTCGGGCGTGATCTATTCTTTAGAGTGTAAGCCTGTGAATCAAATGATCCGTGGTTTGCATCCGTTGCCACAAGACCGTGCCCCACACTTTGGGGCCACTTTCAAGAGTGACAGTTAAATCCTATTATTCGATTAGAGTGGCCCAAGAGATTAGGGTAGGTGCCGTCTTTCCTCTGGTGTATCATTTCTAAATTAGGGACGTTTAGCGTAGTTCTTATGTAGCTTCGTACAAATATCCAAAACAAACATAACCTAACAACCCAGTGATGTATCAAACATACCAGGAATTGTAACTAAGTCATTTAATTCACGTACTACATTAGTTGATTTTAAAAAAAGATGGTTTACCTTCTAACCTGAAAAACATTTTGAAATCTGCTTTAAGAAGATTACACAAATGTTTTTTTTACGTGTATTGATATGCTTGTTGGTACAGGGTTTGTTTGTTTTGAAGTTCGCGCAAAGTTACACGAGGGCTATCTGTGCTAGCCGTCCCTAGTAAATACCACCCACCTCTTGGGCTACTTTTTTACAACGAATAGTGGGATTGACCGTCATAACGCCCCCACGGATGAAAGTGCGAGCATGTTTGGTGGGATGGGGATTCGAACCCGTGATCCTTAGATTGTGAGTCGAGCGCCCTCCAACCACCTGGCCATGCCAGGCCGTTGGTATAAGAAATTTTATTCATAAAGACAACCGTTTCCATCAATTGACATTACTGGAATATTTCTAAACGACGTTAACCACAATGTCAACTGGAAAGTTACCTTTGTTCAAAACACATTTTAATATTTTCTCTCTCCTTGTGAAAATATCAATGTTTCTAAATGTTTGTTTTTGTTAAGCACAAGCTACACAATGTGTCCACCCAGGGTATCTAAACCAGTTTTCAGCGTTATAAGCCCGTAGACCAACCAATCGTCCCTGGGTTGGACAGCGTTAAGGATTATTTGTTTGTTATGGATTTAGCGCAAGCCTACACGAGGGCTATCTGCGCTAGCCTTCCCTAATTTAGCAGTGTAAGACTAAAGGGAAGGCAGCTAGTCATCATCACCCACCGCCAACTCTTGGGCTACTCTTTTACCAACGAATAGTGGAATTGACCGTCACATTATAACGCCCCAACGGCTGAAAGGGCGAGCATGTTTGGTGTGATAGGAATTCGAAACGCGAAAAGCAGAGGTTCGAAGTTTTACGTTCTATGTCTTAGAATTCAAATAAGTAATATTGTTTTACTCTTTCTTTCAACAATTACAACCTTGAATATAAACCCTCTTATTTTGCTATCTACTGTGTCCACCGCAGGGACCCGTACCCCGGATTTGAAAGACTTGCCGCTCTTCCACCGAGAGACAGTTGCAATAAGTATAAGTTTAAGATGGAGAATATTTTCTTTGATGCAATAAAGTTGAAGTTGGAAATAGTTCTAGTGCAAACTAAAGAAACTAAGATATAATTATTTATTTAAACATAAAAAAAGACAATTTTTTAATTCGAGAAAAATATTTTAGCAGGAGACCATGCGTTTGTCATCCATATTTAAATGACCAGTGAGACCCATGGTTTCTGATATATATACATATAATCATAAAGTAGTTAATTAGCTGGTCTTCTGTCAAGACTAAATGTGAAACTTAAAGTTTGATAATAATACTTATTGCGCTATTTCTGTGTTTGTTGTTAAGTGCAAAGCTACACAATGGGCTATCTGCGCTGTGCCCACCATGGGTATCGAAACCCGGTTTTTAGCTTTATTAGCCTCCAGACTTACCGCTGAGCCACTAGAGGGCGTTTTAGTTTCGATGTGGAATCTTCTTACACTAGTAATCATTTAAATGATCGTGTATATCGTTTCCCAATTATTGGTTCGAAAAATGTAAAGATTTGAAATCTCATTTTTGGTTTGATAATAGAGTAGCAATAAGATCACCTTCAGCCCTATCACTTGTATTATTGTAATAATTTTCCCTTTACTATTAGGAAATCAATGGGTTGTATCATTGTAATAATTTTCCCTTTACTATTAGGAAACCAATGGTTGTATCATTGTAATAATTTTCTCTTTACTATTAGGAAATCAATGGGTTGTATCATTATAATAATTTTCCCTTTACTATTAGGAAACCAATGGTTGTATTATTGTCATTTAAGTTTCAGTTGTACATTATCGAATACAGGTTGATGATACATTTGTTACCTCTATTAACCCAAAACATGTTGGTCAGTTTCGAAGCATTTTGATGGTCAGTATAGTAATATAAATACTCATAGCAAAATGTCAACAAAACATAAGCTTATTTTTGTTTTTTTAGATACACGACAACAGCGTCAAATGTAACTGTCAATTGTACCAGAGGAAGGCATCTACTGGTTTATATTTTAGTTTAAGTAATTTCGTACACTGAAGTTGGAATTCATTATGCTTATTAAACCAGCAGCACGTTTGAAAATCTTGATAACAAGTCTGAGAACATCAACATGTTTTTATGTGTTTTTTAATAAAAGTGGCTTTCCAATTAACATCGTTCATAACATTAGACGTGATTATTTGAGTCAATAATTAGGAGCAGATAAAGTGAAATGTTTCCAAACAATCTTTATCAGAAATATACTGGCAAGCATATCGTACATATGAAAAATCAATCGTGAGAGCAGCTTTTTCACTATTTTTTTTTTTTTTGGAATTTCTAGTACATACTGGATGGATAACTTCATTCTCCTCATACTGATTTGAGAGTTATCAAATGAGCCTGAACACAAACCTTGAAGTGTTTTCTTTGTGTTCCGATGCAGTGTATGGATTTAAATATATAAAGTTATAAAAGTACATTTAAATCTAATGACCAATTGTAGATCGAGTAAAAGTAGTCAGGCGCACAGTAATTACGACTAAGACTTGTTTAAAGGTTCATTTTTGTTTGTTTAAACAAAGTTGCATAACTGGCTACCTTCTCTGTTCTCACCGGAGGAATCGAAGCCTAAATTTTAACATTTTAAGCCCTCAATGTTACTGCTGATCCACCGAGGGACTCCAACGACACACGTATTACAGCTGATATAATGAAATATCGTCTTCACTTTTCACGAGCACAATAGCTACACAATGGGCTATCTGTGATCTGCCTACCACACCAAACCCGTTTCTTGCAGACATACTGCTGTGCCACTGGGGGGAGGGGGGAGCTGTTCTTAATGGGACTATTAGATCTTCCAACCCACTGCTATGGAGTTTAGATAGAGGCGTACAAAAGTTCAAACGTTTTTAATCTCATTTCATACACAGATGCATGTTGAATCAAAAAGCACTTACACATATCCATGCGAGCGTGAAATAAAAATTTATTCATTATATTCTGATATATAACTCTCCAAACATAGATACATATAATATATGCTTTTTTTTTCACTTCCCTCACTCCATGTTTAATGACTACCGTACAAATATATTCATGTCAAGACTAGCATAAATTATTATTTTATCCACAAAATTAGTTTTACATCTTAACGCAACGTGTCATTACGTGCTATTCAAGTAATATATATATATATATATATATATTGCTTTACAAAATAGAGCAGCATTTGTAAATGTTACACTTTCAGACAAACAAACAAAAAGTTGGACTGAAGAGGGCACTTCAGTCGAAACTTGTATCCATCTACAGATAAAAATCTATCGCAATTTTGTTTAATAATTTTCAACGAAAATTTTGTTATTTCATTTTAGGTCGAACTGTTTCAATTCACAAACATTACAAACCACAAACACTACAGCTTATGAAACTAGAGTGGCAAAATTACTGATATCATGTGTTACTATATTATAATTCTGACGACAAACATAACTATTAACACAAAATTCATACACTGTTATATGTTACTCCACAGAAATGGAACCTATAATTAAAATTCAAAAATTAATTTTTTTTCTAGTTGTTGTTGTTGGTGGTTTTTTGTTGTTGTTTTTGTCCCGCTTCTCGCTGAACTAGAAAAACAACGATATTGATCGTGGTGGCAAGCTTCAGGGTTTGCCCAAGGTGCAGTTCCAAATTTTGGCGGTAACGCTGTCATAACTTAGGTTACATCTGGCAGCATTGTTGTCGAAACTCATCTCGGGTACCTTGAACTCAGGATTCACAGATATCTAAATAAAGTTTGGAAAATAACAACAACTTGAACTAATTATACAACAAACATCACCTCCAATTTTTAATTCTACATATCTTCGATGACGGGCGAATACTTTGATATATTATATTCGAAGAACGTAAAATCGGCAATCATCATATGCTGGAATCAGTTCTCTTTCATGCGTGAGGTTTTTCAAAACTCGTGGAATTTTTTTTTTTAAATGACTGCTCATTTTGTACATCATGCGTTGTGTTGGGAACAACAATTAACTTTATGCATCAGGACTATTTTTCATTCAAAGTAATAGTGTTGTTGGGAACATCAAAAATACTGGTTGGAACGACTACTCATTTTACACACCAAAGTTAATATTGGTAAGATATATTCATTCTTTACATCAGGGCTAATATTGGGAAGAAACATTCATTCTTTACATCAGGACTAATATTGGGAAGAAACATTCATTCTTTGCATCAGGACTAATATTGGGAATAAACATTCATTCTTTGCATCAGGACTAATATTGGGAAGAACTGTTCATTTTGTGCATTAGGACTAACACTGGGAAGAAATATTCATTCTGTGTATTAGGTATAATATTAAGAAGAACTGTTAATTTGTGCATCAGGACTAATATTGAGAATAACTGCTTGTTTTGAACATCAGGACTAATATTGGGAGGAACTCTTCTTTTTGTGCATTAGTACTAATATTGAAAATAACTGCTCGTTTTGTGCATCAGGACTAATATTGTGAAGACTTGCTCACTTTGTGCATCAGGAATAATATTAGGAGGCACTCTTCTTTTTGTGCATTAGGACTAATATTGGAATAAACTGTTCATTTTGTGCATTAGGACTAATTTCCGAAGAACTGTTAATTTGTGCATCAGGACTAATATTGAGAATAACTGCTCGTTTTGTGCATCAGGATTAATAGTGTAAAGAACTGTTCATTTTGTTCATCAGGATTAATACTGAAAAGAACTGTTTATTTTATGCTTTAGGACTGCTGTTGGGAACAAATTTATTTTTGTACTTTTAGAAACAATATAGAATGCTATTAATTATTAATGTCTCCAGATTAGATTGGCCCTGAAGTAAGGAACATTGGAGAAATCTTGGAAGACATAATATTTATCGAAACTAAGTGGCAGATATTAAACAGACAACTTGTGGTGTACTTTGAAGTTATTTCATATAACTAGAAATGCAATAAGAAGCAAAATATATGGCTTTACCAATCGCACATTCAGAACCCAGCCAATAATTTATCACGTATTGTGTATATTTAAGTTTAGCACGTGCCTATGTATATTTGCAGGGATTTGAAATCCACGATCACGTAGTACTGGAATTAACACGTGTTTATGTATGTTTAGAATGTTTTTACATCAACGATAACGTAGCGTTAGTGTTAGCACGTGTTTATGTATGTTTACAGAGTTTTGTAATCCACGATCACGTGGTGTTAGTGTTAGCACGTATTTATGTATGTTTACAATGTTTTTACATCAACGATAACGTAGTGTTAGTGTTAGCACGTGTTTATGTATGTTTACCATCTCATACACGCTACAAACAAGTACAATCAAACTCAATCATGCAGTGAACAAAACCCATCAGGGAGTTCGTAACATTCAGCGTTTCTAGAATAGAATTAGAAGAAGTACTTATTTCTTAGAATATAACTCAATCTCAGTAACCTATAGAGCAGTTAATATTAATATTTGCCACAAAATGGCGTTTTTGCGTTATTGTGAAACCGTGAGTAATGGACACTGACAGACTTCACTTTGTCCATATACAAACACAATCGTGATTTGGTGGTTGGTATGAGGGAGCGGGGGGGGGGGGCTTGCCAAAAGATTGCAAAGGATCAGATCAATGTTTGATATTAAAGGAATGAACGCAAAGATCGCTACTGATGAAATAGTTAAGAGACAAGGAAAGAAAAACGAACACTATACAAAGCGCTTTGAACACGAACCTATCTGGAGAGAGGGGTGGGAAGCAGTCTCTTCTACTCTCCAACCCAACTCATTCCCCTCTCGTGGATGCGAGAGTTTTAACATGGTTGCTGTTGTCTATTGTAAAGTGCAACAAATCTACATACTGCCCACTGCGGGTATCGTTACGAGCCCACAGATTCACCGCTGAACCAACAGGGGACGTTTTAACATGGAGAATTATACTGAAAACAACATTATAACGCCTGCAAAATATGTAAAAATTAAGTAGCATCACATAAGTCTTATCACAGACATAATATCTTACTTTGAAATAATAATTCCCTGGAATCAAGTCCGTCAAGTCCACCCATTGACAATCGATATTATGCAGATAAGTGTCAGTGCAACCCACGGAGATGCCCTGGTCACCGTAGTTTACGCATGCGTATTTCTTCTGTGCCCCTTGTCTACAGTAGTTGTCTTCCAGGCAGAAACTTGCCTTATGCCCCTCGGCTACTTTGTTGCCCTGCATATCAATGACGTCAAAATGTGCAAAAACTTCCATGCTATGATAGTGACTGCAAAAAATAAAATAAAATAAAACAAGCGATATAAAAGAGACAATTATTAACATTAATGATTGTAAACAAGACAGAGAACTGTATTGTCAATAAGATCATGCTCGAAAATAGATTCTTGCAAAATTTCACTTATCTTGGTCATCGGTGTTTGTTTGGTTGTTTGTATTTTGAATTTTGCGCAAAGCTCTTCGAGGGCCGTCCATAATTTTGAAGCGACAGACTATAAAGAGAGGGCGATTTGGTTTGGTTTCGTTGTTGTTCTTGTTGTTAAACACAAAGCTACACAATGGGGTATTTGTGCTCTGCCCACCACGGGTATCGAAGTCAGATTTATGGTGTCGTAAGCCTGTAGACTTACACTGAGTCACTGGAGAGGAGGTGGGCGGCAGTTAGTCAAAACCACCCACCGCCAACTCTTGTTCTACTGCTTACCAACGAATAGTGGGATTAACCGGCACATTATAATGTCCCCAAGGCTAATAAGGTGATCATGTTAGGGAACAAGAAACGAACCCGCGACCATCAGTGGCTGGTGATATCGGTGAATATGACGCTAGTAACAATGCAAAGTGAGTCAAACTGTTTTGCGCGTCTCCTTAACTCTGGTAGTTAAGGTTTGGGCCGTTGAGACGTTGACCCAATGTAACCTTGCCTACAGCACTAACACGTGTATTGTTATACCACCAACGATTTTTTTTTTTCTGAAGGGGGTATTTATAAAGGCATAAAATTGCATATTCGTTCGTTCGGTTTGAAGATTATTCTTACGCTGACTTGGGGATGAGCTAATTGCAGAAACTTCTTGATTTTCTTTTTTAAGTTTGATGTCATGAAAACCAGTGAAGGGTAACACCAAGATGATAAGACATTTGGAAACGTTGAAGTCTGGAATCTTGGATTGTAAACTTTATTAATAAACGCAAAGGCATTTTTAATCAAATATTTTCTATATTGATTACTTCACCATGAAAATTACATTAAGAGTTCTTATATTTATACGCTTTATGAATTAGAATACTTATTAAAATTAATTTTGTAAAAATCGGGTATGAATGTGCTGAAATGACAGTAGTATCTGATGTCCAGCTTGATGACCTTTAGATCTAAAATAGGTAACTTGGATTCTTTTTGTTCTGCAACTGTAAACTTGATATTCCTGTGTTTGGAATTTAAATAATCTTGAAACTTTTTGACATGATTTTGTTCTCTGAATACTATATAAGTATCATCAACGTATATCTTATAAACGAAAGGTTTTAATTCTGATGGACAGGAATGTAACCAATTAATTAACTAATATGGGAACAGATGGTGAGTCCACGGCCACACCGTCAATAAGACATCTAAGCAAAGACTGTGGCGATAAGCCTAACATCGAACACCTCAAAATAATAGAATCAGCGACAGGCGAATGGACATTAAGGGAAAAGGAAGCTCTTCTAAATCGAAACTTAAAACCAAAGCGGAACAACCAGCTAATGTCACTGTATTTCAAACTGTGATAAACTTATCATGTCTGAGATTGGCATAGAGTAAAAACTTATCGAACAAACAAATGTCGATATCTATGTCAAATACATTTAAATATGTGATTCATGAGTCAAACTGTCAATCTAAAATTTGACACATTTCTTTCCTAAAAAAAATAAAGAATATCTAGAAAAAGTGTAAGTTTATATTTTACGCAAATTTTGCTCCTCTTTAGACATCATCATTGATACCAATAATATTCGATACAATTTTTAGCATAGATGACATTTTAGTATTCTTACCGGACACCTCATTGTAAATTCAAGTGAGATGAATCATCACAACCAAAAGTTCTTGCTAATTATCTTACTAGGGCTTGGCATGGCCTGTGGGTCGCGGGTTCGAGTCCCCGTCATTGAACATGCTCGTCCTTTCAGCCGTGAGAGCATTATTATGTGACGGTCAATTCCGCTATTCGTTGATAAAATAGTAGCCTAAGAGTTCACTAGTTGTCTTTCCCGTCATTAATCACTGGTAAATTAAGGACTGCTTTGTGCGAAATTCAAACCAAACCAATTATCAGTGACAAACAATTAGGTTTTCTAAACCCGAGTTCTTCAACCTTTTCGATATAAAGGACCTGATCGCTGCTTCCCTAAACTGTAGTGGACCCCTAAGATGTAAGTAACAACGAAATATCGTTACGATTTACATATGAATATTCTGTCAGTACTTATTTGTTTGTTTCGAAAAATACAATGGATTGACAAGATGGTTGTGACGGATCGGAGTTTAAAAAACACTGATCTAAAAATGTTTGTTTTATTTACTTTCGCGCAAAGCTACACGAGGGTTATTTTCGCTAGCCGTCCCTAATTTAACAGTGTGAGACTAGAGAGAAGGCAGTTAGTTAGTCATCACCACCCACCGCCAGCTCTTGGGCTACTCTTTTACCAACGAATAGTGGGATTGACCGACACATTATAACGCCCCCACGACTGAAAGGACGAGCATGTTTGGTGCGACGGAGATTCGAACCCGCAGATTGCGAGTCGAGCGCCACCTGGCCATGCCGGGCCCTGATCTAAAGAACCAATGCTAAAAAAGCACGGCAAAAGCAGGAGCTTTAAATGAGCACATTTGGAATTTGAACTACATGAAAATAATTCGTGTTGCAAAGTTTACTTTCTCAAGACGATTTTTTTACAAGTAAAATACTGAAAAGATAGACGTTTCAACTTACAGGTGACAAGAATGCCACTCCCATGCATGCTTCGGTAAAAACGGTCGAAAATCGGCAGTACCAACGTTTCCAATCCTCGCAGTAAATCTCAGCAATTTTCTCTTCTCAAACAAGTATCCTGTAATCAGAAGAAAATTCCTTGTGAAGATAGTTAATTCTTAGTTTGTTCTGTTGAATTTCGCACCAAAACTAGTTGTGCTGTCACGTTGATTGTGACCTCATTTTATATTGTGCGTAGACTAACGGTCATTATTCGTAAAGTCATTTCAGATTGTATGTAGACTTAAATAGTCACATTAATTACAGTCACTTCATGTTGTGTGAAGAATGGCAGTCATGTTAACCATAGTCATTTTGTGTTGTACGTAGGCTGACAGTCATGTTAATTACAGCCTTATACCATGTCGTGTGTATAACTAGACAGTGATGTTAATTATTACTTTATTCCTCAACTTTCTTGCAACTTTATTCAGCACTGTGCAGTGAACCAGTGTAATCACCTTTCTTACATCTTTGTTCTACACTGTGCAGTGAACCAGTGTAATCACCTTTCTTACATCTTTGTTCTACACTGTGCAGTGAACCAGTGTAATCACCTTTCTTACATCTTTATTCAGCACTGTGCAATGAACCAGTGTAATCGCCTTTCCTATAACTTTATTCTACACTGTGCAGTGAATCAGTGTAATCACCTTTCCTATAACTTTATTCTACACTGTGCAGTGAACCAGTGTAATCACCTTTCTTACAACTTTATTCTACACAGTGCAATGAATCAGTGTAATCACCTTTCCTATAACTTTATTCTACACTGTGCAGTGAATCAGTGTAATCACCGTCCGTCCAATAAAACTACTGTTGTTTAAAGGTTTTCAGTAATTCTGTATTGATATTGTCCGTCCAATAAAACTACTGTTGTTTAAAGGTTTTCAGTAATTCTGTAATGATATTATCCGTCCAATAAAACTACTGTTGTTTAAAGGTTTTCAGTAATTGTCTTATGATGAAAGACTTGCTTTATTTTAGTCCCTAGCTAGTGCAATAAAAATTAGTTATTCATGAAACAAAGTTATCTCTAATGAAATTTCCATTTTGGAACCTACTTTCGAAAAGTGAAACGAGGCGTTCTCTGATTGATTTTCAACAGGAGAAACGAGGCGTTCTCTGATTGGTTTACGAACAGGAGAAACGAGGCGTTCTCTGATTGATTTTCAACAGGATAAACGAGGCGTTCTCTGATTGGTTTACGAACAGGAGAAACGAGGCGTTCTCTGATTGGTTTTGGACAGGTGAAACGAGGCGTTCTCTGATTGATTTTCAACAGGAGAAACGAGGCGTTCTCTGATTGGTTTACGAACAGGAGAAACGAGGCGTTCTCTGATTGGTTTTGGACAGGTGAAACGAGATGTTCTCTGGTTGGTTTTCGACAAGTGAAAAAAACTTTTTCTTTTATAATTTTTGACGGATGAAACAAGATTTTTTTCTTTTATGATTTTTGACCAATAAACTTAAATCTTTTCTTGATGATTATCGACAGATGAAATAAGAAATTCCTCTGGTTAAGTGTGATAACCAATGACCCAGTGTCATAAACCCGTGTTTCCCAAAGTGTGAGGCCACATTAAATTACAAACATTTTTATAGGTTGGGGGGAGGGGGGCTCAATCTTTTTTATTCACATCAATGGAGCCTCAGACTAAAAGAGTTTAGGAACCTCTGTCACAAACGATAGAACTAGGGGGAAATTAGTGTTAGATATACTGTCAAATATCTAATCAAGATATTTCACGATATATAGTTTATTAAATGTGAAACTTGTATAGAATATAAAAGAAACGTATTTATCTTACCTTTACAAGATACTGAATTTCACGATATATAGTTTATTAAATGTGAAACTTGTATAGAATATAATAGAAACGTATTTATCTTAGCTTTACAAGATACTTGTGAAACTTGTATAGAATATAATAGATACGTATTTATCTTACCTTTACAAGATACTGAATTTCACGATGTATAGTTTATTAAATGTGAAACTTGTATAGAATAACGTATTTATCTTACCTTTACAAGATAATGAATTTCACGATGTATAGTTTATTAAATGTGAAACTTGTATAGAATAACGTATTTATCTTACCTTTACAAGATACTGAATTTCACGATGTATAGTTTATTAAATGTGAAACTTGTATAGAATAACGTATTTATCTTACCTTTACAAGATACTGAATTAAAATCGAGCTCTATTACATATCTTACAGTTTGTAACATCTGTCTTTTTTCATAGAAAGTCAGGCTTGATTTGCATATCTTACAGTTCTCAAACTATTAGAGATTAAAGACGTATCTTACAACTTTCTTGAAATACGGACTTTTTTCTTCGATAGTCAAGCTGTTCAATTCTTATAATTGAATTATTTAAATTATTTCCACTATTTCACCTGCTTGAATGAGTTGAAAATTTTCGATTAAACATTTCAGACCTCTCTGTCTTTAACCGTTATATTCTGTACTGCCTTTCATTATAAAAGAAAACCTGTCTCTGGAGAAGTATTCATATCAGACTTACCGTATCTTTTCTCCTTCTGTAGCCGATATGCAGAACTAGAAAGACAATTTTCTTCCATTGCGCATTGCAAATACAGGAGTTCCTTTTCTTCCAGATATGACGACCGTTCAATCTCCTTCTCGTCTGGTACGAGGTCAGGCATAGCTTTAGATGAAACAAACATATCCTCTTATAACAATAAAACCTTTTATCATATAAAACCTAAAATAAAATCAGCTTTATTTAAATTACCATGTACGACTCTAGGGTTAAGAGCTGTGGAAGAACAATACATGGAGACGACAGAACCTACTACATTTTATATATAATTTTATTATTATTATTATTATTATTATTACTTTCCGCAAAACTAAATAATAAAAGTGACAATACATGGCTTTTATTTACTTTTTACGCATAATTTTATCATTACTTCCGCAAAACTAAATAATAAAAGCGACAATAGATGGCTTCTATTTATTTTTTATGCATAATTTTATTATTATTATTATTACTTTCCGCAAAACTAAATAATAAAAGCGACAATAGATGGCTTCTATTTACTTTTTATACATAATTTTATTATAATTACTTTCCGCAAAACTAAATAATAAAAGCGACAATAGATGGCTTCTATTTCCTTTTTATGCATAATTTTGTTATTATTATTATTATTATTACTCTCCGTGAAACTAAGTAATGAAAGTGACAATGCTTCTAGTTACTTTTTGTTGAGTCATAGAATTACTGACGGGACCCAAAAAATTTTTTAAACTTATTTCTTTCAAGCTATCAATGTACCAAACTATTTGCGAGTCCATTACATACGAGATACAAAAATATGTCTTATTAAAAAAATAACACCAATATTGTAATTAACCTCATTAATTAATTCCGAGTTTCATTATTTCATCCAATCATTACAAATCATAAGGTTACCCAACATGACGCAATATTTGGGTCTCATCAATAGCGAACAATATAAAAACAAGATGGCGATTTCGGGGCTCACCAATTTGCATTAAAAAAAAGAAGAGAAATCTTGGCAATGGTGTTCAAACGACTTCAAAGGACGTTGATTTTTAAGCATTACTTTATTGGTAGAGATTTTGGACGTTAAAATTATCAAAATAAATATTTTTAACCAACCGGGTTACTTTATTCATCCCCAGTTTAGGAGTTTCATTATACTGGTCGTTTTTTGTTGGTTTTTAATTATAATAATTTTGTTATAAACATTCATTAGCGGTATTGATTGAAATTTTTAAAGCTTATCGTTTATATATTTCGTTTCTGTTGATATGTTTTAGTAATTGTGTGTATGTTTTTTTTGTTTTTTTTTGCATAATTAGCATAAGATATGGACCAGTGATGATCTGTTTTTGCAAAGCGCAGCCACGTGTCTGACCGGCTGTGGTCGTGGTGGTTCGGATGGGGGGGGGGGGGTGAATCATGTCAGCAAGAAACTTTAGTGATGGGTTATCTTTACAAGTTTAAATCTGTTGAGGTAGACATTAATACTGTGGTAGGCTGTATATTCGTATTCTTATGTTCAGTAGGGAAAATGTGCTATAATCTCTCTTTATAGTTATTTTCATTAGTAGTACTAGCAGAAACGCTGCCCATTGGGCGTTTATTTGTGCTAGTAATTACTCATCGTTGTATTCATACTTAATTGAAAAAATATAGAAAAATATTTAACATTTTCTAAATAGGATTTTTCTGGAAAGTACTGCACAGGAAAAGTGTTCAGATTGTGCTGATATAAACTGTAATGTGTTTATATATTGAAAGCAGTATCCTTTATTGAAAAAATAACAGTTGTTTTTCTAAGAACTCCATTTTGTTAGTACTGTATTTACAAATTACATCAATAAAGATATAATCAAATCCTCACGTACTGTCCTGGCGAAAGTCGTGTTCTTGTTGTGATGAGAGTTGTTTTATTTAAAATTGTATTCTGTGATAAAGAAATGCGCAACCCGTAGATATTTTTCTAAGTGTCTGAATCTTGAAAACCCAAAGTGTGAAAAAAATTGTTTTTGGGGTTTTGTTTTGTGGTGTCATTCAATAGATGGCGCCATATTGTATTTTTTTGCCACATACATAGGTACGTATATACATGCTTCGTCCATTGAAGTAAAGAGATTCGTTAGAATATTTAATATATCTAGTCATATTACTTTTTTAGTATATCATTTTACATTTGTAACTTAGTATAATAATTTAGAACTAATCTAAATTTTCTCAGCTATATTGGCATTTCAGCCGAAAACAGCTTTAAGAGCAAACTTACCCAATTAATAAGTCAATGCGTTCTAGTCAATATACTTTTTATTTTATGATTTTGCATACAACTAGTAAGAATAGTATATTAAGTTAACTATATTAATTATTGGGTTAATTTTTAATTCTGACTTATGTGGATACATTACCTTCATTAGAAATTAATAATATTTGGAGAGTTTTGGGGGATAAGTTAAATTATTTTAAAATCTAACATACGGCTTAAGAGGAAAAAAAAGAACAGGAACTGATATATTTTTTCATCCTCACCCGTCAATTTGTTTACCTTTTGCACAAATAACGCCAGCAAAATTGCTATCCCTTCCTGGACAATCAACAGCACCTACGTTGTCATGACGACAAGATGCTAGTGTTTTTTCGTCTCCTCTACATTTCACCCCACTGAGGATCATTTGGCTACGTTGTCCTCCGAAAGAGGAACTCTGGAAAAAATACATACTGAGTGTATGATACTTCTAAACTAATAATGATGATGTTAGTATTGAATGAGTCAATAGAAAATGTGACTTAAATAAGATTGTTGCCTCCCCCCCCCCATCAGCTCAACGGTAAGCCTACATTAGGCTTATGACACTAAAAATCGAGTTTCGGTACCATTTGAGGGCAGAGCACAGATAACCCATTGTGTAACTTTGTGCTTAATAACAACCAGTAAATTAAGCATGAGATTGGCGTGCCATCTGACGACGGTTTTGAGAACATCATTTGAATTGTTTCTTTTAACAAATTCATTTAAGTTCACGTGTATTGGAGAACTTTAAGGTGTGTTTAGGAAGTTTTCTAAGACACTTGACAAACATGTGGTATCTTTTTGTATCTTATAATCCAATCATCCAAGATAGAGAGTAAAGGTAAGCGTAGATACAATGTATATTAAACATGCACTTGTAAGTCCCCAAGTGGCTCAGCGGTAAGTCTGCAGGCTTGCGAGATTAAATGTCGGGATTCGATCCCGTTGTAGGCAGAGTACAGATAGCCCATTGTGTAGCTTTGTGCTGAACTACAACAAACACCAAATCACACTTGTATTATATTCCATCTCTATTTAAAATATACTGATATATTATCAAGCCAACTTCTTACCTGAATAGCTGCTTTGGCAAATCCTAGGCCTAGCTGTTTGCAAACTACTCCAGCCTCTAGTGTCTCCCAACCATCTCCACACACTAGTCCCCACTCAGTCCCTGGAACTTTGACTTCGACTCGCCCTTCTGATGGCGAGCGCCCTCCAACGAGCCGAAGCGAAAAGTTGTTTTCTTTAAGCTGCAAAAACTATTTCGTGTATTTTTCTTTCTTTCAACATTTCATGTTTTATAACATACGACATTTTAGTTATTGTCAAATGAGCTATTAAATGAATTTCGAGTTTGTGTTTTGCATACAGTTTATAGATTCGAAACTTAGAAAAGTATCTATAGAGAAGGACTTCGAGTGAACGATCATCTGTATATAAAAAAATGTTTCACAAGAAGTGAATGGTAGAGACTTTCTCTTTACACATATCGGTTATGGAATCTTCAAACCAAAGCTTTATCTACCCATCCATACATCTGTCTATCAGTCCATCCTTCTCTCTGTGTTTATACATCCATCTAGACGTCTGTCTGTCTACTATATATTTATCTGTCTGTCCATCTCTATCTAAACAAAGAAAAACCAATTTGAACAACTGTACACAGCTATAAGAAGACAGAAGAAACAAACATGCTTAATTTACTCCATCTTTCACGACTGTATTACAGTAGAGCTTAATTTAAAACTGGTTGTTACATAAGTTACGAGCGTAATAAGTTGAACTTACAACCGGTGGTTACATGAGTTACAAGCCCAGTAAGTTTAGGTATTATGTAACGCAGACGAACCTTTCTTAGTATAATCCCCAATTCTGGATCACGGTAATTAAAACTGAAATTTTAGTTTTAGTCTTCGATGTTTTAAGCTATGGATACTCTTACACGATATCTTAGTTTTAGTCGTCGATGTTTTAAGCTATGGATACTCTTACATGATATCTTAGTTTTAGTCGTCGATGTTTTAAGCTATGGATACTCTTACATGATATCTTAGTTTTAGTCTTCGATGTTTTAAGCTATGGATACTCTTACATAAAATATAATGAAGAGTGTCAATAACTCACAATATTTAAATTATAATCTCCTGTATCAGTATTATTCTTTGAACAAACATACACTATTTTATTATTCTCATTTTTCAGCGCTTTGTTTAGCCTTTCATAGTGGTTTAAAATTTTCAGAAATATCCCACTTTTTTGTTTGGAGTTGTCGTAATATCTACTGAATGAACCATAAAGTTTTCCTCCTTCCGTTGATATTTAAACACAATATTTTATATTTAAGTCTTTGTAATCCACCTCGTTCTTTTTATTATGCTACTTTATATTTATTTACGCTCTTGTTTCTATTTTTACACCCTCAAGTGTCCTCAGTAGATCCTGACACATACCTGACTGCGAAGTCTACCAAAAGACAAACCTTACCCTGCTTGACTAGAAGTTGTAAGAACAAGCTTTCGACAAACAATACAAACATAATATGAGTAAGAAAACACAAAGTGCGAACGCAAAATTGCCAAAAACACAATTTTAATCAAAATCTTTATAACTTTTGTAAGCATCTTTGTTTACATGAATCATTACAATCCTATCAATAAGTTATTTTAATCGATTGATTTTTTGGGTTAAGATACCCCTGAGACAGTCTACTCTAAACATAGTGTCAAGGGTTAAGCAGCACTGATATTCTGTCATGCTCTTTCCTTTAATTAACATAAGATAATTAGCACTGATTAAGACGGTTCAATATGCTGTATGCGCCTCAACAATATAAACAGTAGCCATGAATATCATTTAACTTGTACAATAATAAAAACTAATCATAGCCATGAATATCAGTCAGCTTGTACAATAATAAAAACTAATCGTAGCCATGAATATCAGTTAACTTGTATAACAATAAAAATAGTCTTAGCCATAAATATCAGTTAACTTGCACAATAATAAAACTAATCGTAGCCATGAATATCAGTCAGCTTGCACAATAATAAAACTAATCGTAGTCATGAATATCAGTCAATTTGTACAACAATAAATATAGATTTAGCCATAAATATCGGTCAGCCTGTACAATGATAAACAGATAAATATCATGTAATCTTAAACAAATATTACTGCTTACATACAAAGAGTGGTTATATTTACTAGTCTCGACTTCTCTTTACCGAGGTGTTTTGTTTTGCAATTACAGGAATAAATACGAAACAAACATAATAAAAAACACTTATTTCAAACGTGAGTAACAGTACCTACTGATAATTGAAGTGTGTGATTATCTTAGATGAGAAAGTAATTTGTAATAAGTAATGTATAAGAGGGATGAAGTTAAACTTACTTTCTCGATTGTTACATATCTTATTATAATAAATCATATTTACACGAACTGGCTGAATTATAGCCGATGCTTCTTTATCAGTAGAGCTTGATGAGGCAGAATTATGATGTAGATCTTTTTTTTGGCATACAACACCAGCGACCTCTGATGGACTGCAGTCATGTTTACCCCAGCCATCAAACGGGCAGTCCTGTAACCTCTTTTCATTTCCGGTACAGTACAAGTTATCCATCCATATCAAAGACGCTAGAAGGAAAATGATAGAAACATATTCGTTATTCACTGTAAGCTCTACCATTAGTAAAATTAGATTCGAAAATCGAAAATCAAATAGTATTTTATCGTTTTAATGCCTAGAATGACGAAATATCTTTTGACAATTAAAAGCTAGGTATTAGCCTACATTTTTTTCTTTATAAACCAAAATAAATCTATACGGTATCTGACGAAGGATGTTGAATTAATAGTCTACATTTTCACTTGTTTTTAATTTATCGACTGCATTTTTTATGTACACTTATTCTGAATTTCAAAATTCTACACGTCTGTACAATATAAGTTAAACCACTAGTGCATGAAAGTTTTATATATTCCACGTTTATCTTTGAGTATAATTTTACATTTCAATCCATTAATCATATTGATTAACGTCAATTGACGTGTAAAGGTTGTTTAATAATCCGCGTATTTCACGAAAACGTTAAGCATTTGTGCTGCCTATGATGAAATATATGGCAAACATATTCTTACTCTATGTAATAGCCCAAAAAACTGGGCTAGAATCTATGAAAGATGATATTCAGTTAATTAATTAATCTGCTTTTGATAAAGACAAATAACAGAAAGATTTGACTGCGCATATTTAGTTAATAATCTTCAATTTAAAAAAGAAAAATCAAAACTCTCCGACTGCAGATATGTTGTTGATATTCTCCCACTTTTATAGAGACAAATTATAAGCAGAGCCTCTGACAGAATGTATTTCCTTAAGAGCCTACCAGTGTTTTTAAAGTTAAGCCTAACTGCGGATATTTAGTTAACAGTCGACCATTCTTATAAAGAAAAAAATACAAGTTTCAAAGATAGGTCTGGATGAATATTTACTGAAGAGATACTCTATTATTGTATTTCATAATTTTGTCATCAACGGTACATTTATGGGCTTTAACATCCTGAGTTCGATTCCCCGCAGTGGAAAGAACGCAGATAGACCAGTGTGTAGCTTTACGTTTATAAAGTACAAAACAACAACAGCAGCATTCAAAACATGATGGACGAGGTTTAACTGTTATGTGCTTTCAACAAACTATAAAATTACATAATATGTGAATGTGACTTAAGTCTTTTTCTTTAATCCCTGTAAACGAGCTGGCATGTTCTGGTTACACAATGAGCTCTTAACAACTATAAATCTATTTAACTCTTTTCGAGTGGACGCATAAATTACCAACAGTAAGACTTCGTGCAACAGATTCAGCAAGAACGAATTGCGTGATGCTCGTCAGAATGGTAACTAGAGGGGCACTCAGTGCATACCCCCGCCACGCATATCCGGTCCTCAAAATATACGAAAATGTTTCCGTATGTCTGACGTTATCAACGGACACGCATCATTTCTAATAGAACAATGAGGAATAACATTCTACATATGTCCACCAAGTTTCATCAACAATCCAATCATTTTTTAAAGAGTTATAGAACAAAAATCAGTCCCCTATGTTAACAGATAGAAATGTTTTGGATTTTTGTGACCTTGCTGTGACCTTGAAGTTTGATCTAGACTATCCAAAATCTATTCAAGTATATCAACTTTTGTCCAAATCCATTCAGTCGTTTTCGAGAAATCTTGCTGACAAACACACAAACTCACACATGATGAAAATATAACCTCAGTCACCTTCGGTGGTAGGGGTAATAATCTAATCAAATAATTGGGTATATCACTTTTGAACTGTTAAACCTTCTTGATGCTTATCGTATTACATCACGCCTTTTACACGTGTTGCTGTCATTGATTGCATCTATGATGCAGTTTCCAGAGGGCGCAGCTATCGTAAAACATGCGATGATCTGATTAGTACAAAGACGTGATTGTTTATCTCTACAAAATCCCAACACGTGTCTAATGGATTGGTGCGGAGGGGGAACCATGGCAGCATGAAGCGTTGGTGACAGTTTATTTCTTTAAGTGGGATATCTATTGGCACAGACATTCCGTACTATGGAGAGCTGAACACTAGTGTTTTACGTTCCGTAGGTAACATATGCTTTATTCTTTCTCTGTAGCTACTTTCATTTAATAGTTTTGATTAAAATGTTTAATATGACTAGTTTGATTTCAACTATTATCTTTTCGTTATAAAAGATTTTCATTTTTAGTTTAATATGTGTATTTAGGACCAGCATAAATCTCCACAGGTGGCCAAACGTCGTGAGATATTATTGGGTTTACGGCCGAAAATATCATTAACAGCGAGAATACCCAACTGATGAAATAATGCATTCTGATCTTTACAAATGGATTTTAAAGAAAATTATTCTTAAGTAGCTATACTGAATGCCAGCTTATTTTTAGTTGATCTCTAAGTACATAGCTTACTCTGATCAGGAGTTATTTTCATCTAACAACTGTTTTTTCAAAGTGCATATCAATCCATCAAACTTTGTGTAAAATTTTGCAAAATTCTAAACCATAGACGAAAGTGACCTGAAAAGATGAGTTTTAATACATAAGCAAAGAGAAGCCATCAGCTGAGAGCTGGAGCAAAAGGCATAAATAAAGATTGTTTATTTTTGCCTTTATCTGGCCTAATAACAAGACTACATCAGTTAGAAGGAAGATTCGCCACAAGAAGCTGGAACTTAATTATCAATAGAAGGAATGAGGAAGCGTAGTTTTGGATAGCTGCCAGGAAAAAAAGAAGAGAAATTGGTTATCCTTCGTGACCTTGGAAGGACACGACTTGACCTTCCTGCTGAGATATTCAAGGTCGTGGTGACTGCCTGGTTTGAAAAAAAAAAGACAAAACAAATTGTTAAATTTGTTTATTTACCTAGTTTCACTAAACAGGAGTTTGAAGCGTGCCCAATTAAAAACAACACCTGAACCTAAATGTCAAGGATACCAGCTTCCGTTTCCCCTTCCTGAGACCTGGGTCCGGTACAGCAGAAGTATAGTGGATGTTCAGTCACAGCAGTTCCGAATAGTGAATAGTCACGCAGAAAACCCAGTGACAGAACTGTTTGTTCATTCTTACTTCTTAACTTCTTTTTCTTATATATAATAATCTGTATTTCAGATCATTTCGCTCGTGCCTTTAAACTGTTTGTTAGCAGAAATCCCTGCTTGAATAATTTATCTAATAAGTTACAAATGGCCTTGCACAAGGTCCCGTTATAGTTACCATAGGTTACAAGTGGCTTTTCACTAGGTCCCGTTATTGTTACCATAGGTTACAAGTGGCTTTTCACTAGGTCCCGTTATTGTTAGCATAGGTCACAAGTGGCTTTTCACAAGGTCCCGTTATAGTTACCATAGGTCACAAGTGGCTTTTCACTAGGTCCCGTTATTGTTAGCATAGGTCACAAGTGGCTTTTCACAAGGTCCCGTTATAGTTACCATAGGTTACAAGTGGCTTTTCACAAGGTCCCGTTATTGTTACCATAGGTTACAAGTGGCTTTTCACTAGGTCCCGTTATTGTTAGCATAGGTCACAAGTGGCTTTTCACTAAGGTCCCGTTATAGTTAGCTATAGGTCACAAGTGGCTTTCACAAGGTCCCGTTACAGTTACCATAGGTCACTAAGTGGCTTTCACAGGTCCGT